GGGAGAAGGAAAGGAGAGGAAGATAAGGAGAAGAAGAAGAAGAAGAAGAAGAAATGATTGAAGAAGAAGAAGAAGAAGAAGAAGAAGAAGAAGAAGAAGAAGAAACGAACGAAGAGGAAGAAGAAGAAAAAAAAAAAAATACAAAAGAAAATTGTCGTCGATTACTTATCTGCACGAAGGTAGCAACGACGATGACGAGGATGGCACGGCGTGGCAACGAGGACGACGGTCACGGCGATGGCGACGTGGCATGACGACGGCGATCACGACGGTGGCGATGATGACGTGGCACGACGCCGACGATCACGACTATGACGATGATGACGTGGCACGACGGCGGTGATCACGACGATGACGTGGCACTACAGCGACGATCACGACGATGATGCTGATGATGGCCAGGTGGTGACAATGAAGCAGGGTGGGTCGGGCGGGTTCGAACTGCTCCAATACCAGTGTGACGAGGCTGAGGCACAGGCAAGGCAACGAGGCTGGGAGAGAGTGAGAGCACACACACACACTCACTCAACTCGATGCAGACTCGACACGACTCGACGGACGCAGACACGAAGTGGCAAAGTCGCAAAGTCGAAGTCTTGGATTTCCGAACACAATGTCGAGGCAAGTCACACCGAAGCACAAGCACTGAGGCCGCAAAACTGAATGCCCGTACTGGGCTTGGGTCCGATCTCAAGTATCGGACTCAAGTTCAGTCCGATGGACAGAAGTGCAATTTGCCCAGGGCTGAACTGAAAATCGAAAGTTTGAAAATGGGCGCCAGAATGCCGGATGGCACCAAGTGTCCCAAATCAGAAAAATAAAACAAAGCGAAAAATAAAAATAAGAAAAACAAAGAAAAGAAAATGTGTGCAGTTAACTGCGGGTAGCGTCACGCGGACCAGGGATCAAGTCCTGGTGTAGTCCGTAACAAGCAGTGCTTCCGCAACTTTGTGAAGGAACAACTGGTTTGGCTTGGCACTGTAGCAGCTAAATATAGCTGCAGTTGACTGTATGTGCCTGCGTCGGACCAGTACCGGTCTCCTGCAGGCTCTGCTTGCCAAAATTGGTGCTCCAGAAGTCTCCGGACTTTCTTGGGACACTGCTGCAAAATTTGACTCCGGGACCGGACTTCCACTACCGGTACCTACGGACTTTTCCTACTTGCGATGTTTCGGTACCCGAACTCTACCGACCTACAATGCTTCGACCGCTGGCCTACCGGGACAGCCTAGGACTGGGACCGATTCGGACCTCGGGACATGGGCTTCGGCGACTGACTGCGTGAAATCCTTTCACCTGAGTTGCACAGTTGGTGTTAAGTGCGGTCAGAGCTGCCGGATGCGCAGACGCTTTCATTGTATAATATAATTATTGATTGAACTTTTCTTGTTCGCTGATTCGAGTTTCTTCCTGGGCTTTGTGTGTGAATTCTCATGTGAATGTTCTGCGCATGCATGTGGTGATTCGGAGTTGAACTGGGGGATGGTCATTGCATATATGTGGCCATCTGCACTTCGTTTTTGTTGCACATTTTGGCGACTCTCCCCTCCATGCCTCCTCTCCTCCTCCATCGGCCGTACCCTTCCCCCTTCTCGCCCCACCCTTCTTCCCCTTCCTCTTCCCCCCATGTCTTGCCCTCCCTCCTCCTCCCGGCTCTCCGCCCTTGCACCCGCCTCTTCCCCTCTTGCACCCCCGTCTTCCCCTCTTGCACCCCCGTCTTCCCCCCTTCTCTCCCCTGCCTCCTCCTTTTCCTCCGGCTGAACTCACGATTTGTGGATCAACAGCAGAAACAGGTGTGTACTGCGTATACATAAACCCTACGCATCCAGACACTATATGTCCATTTTGCGGCCATGGGTGTTATACTGAATGAATGCGTGGTCCTTTTTGGTGCCAGTTCTTCCTTCATGTTGGCCTGCAATCGACATGCCATTTGTCGAGAGTGTATGGTCGACATGCTAAATGCCAGCTGTCGTGGCAGCTGTTGTACTGAGAATGCTCAGTTTAGGTCTTCGATGTGTTAATCCACCTCACCCTTGCAATGTATGTCCTCTCTGACATCAAGGATGGACAAATTCTTGAACCTTTTCTTATCCTTTCCTTTGCTTTCATCTCCATGTCACTCCCCATTTTCCTTCTCTTCCTTCACTTTGTCTCCTCTCCATCTCTTCTCTGTGTTTATGCCTTCCACCTTTCTACTCTGCTTCTTTCTCACCGGGTACAAGTGGGCTGTTATGGCACACAGGGATGCCGGCAGCTCGTGCGCAATCAATGTGGCAAGCCTGTACGTGAGAGGCACAGTAAAGGGGGAGTTGAAAGAAGAATGATAAAATGAATGGTTTCAGTGTGCTCTTCTTGTTTGTCTTGCTCTTTTTTCGTTTGTTTGAAATTGTTTCACAAATTGTGCTCTTTTAGTCCATAGACATGTGACAATATATCGTGGATGATGTACCGTCCATTAAAGGTGTATATCGTGGATAGATTGACCGAAAACGGGTATGGGTGTATGCCCTGGATAGACAGTGAGCAACTAACTTCTAGGGGTATGGGCGTGTGCCATGTTATAGTATATCCAGATGCGTATCTGGACTGACCATTACTGGTGTTTCGTGCTGATAAGCACGTAACAACAGGTAAATGTGTATGTACTGCAGATTGACACATCTCAAGAGGTAGGCAGGCATGTGTGCCATATGTAGCTCGAGAATTACGGGCAATTACGGAGGGATGTAATTGACAGTTTTGTTGTTAAATGAACTGGTCCTTTCTTTTTGCAGGAAAACACTGCTCCGCGACGCTGGCATTCTGCGCCCGCTTCCAGATGCTCTCAACAGGCCATATCGCGCCCCAGCTGGACATGTGAGATTTGAGTATGAACGCGATATAGCGGAAGAGCTAAATCTTGCTTTTGGTATGTGGTACCCTAACTGTATCCAAGGTCTCCTTAGGTCTTTTTTTTATTATTACGGCCTTTGAGGCCTTTTTTACTATCATTATAGTACTACGGGAAACCCGGTAGCACCCACATCCGTGTTCAAGCCTTCAATGAGGGAACATGCGGGAGCTGCACCTACTAGCAGGTGTGATACCTGCTACAGTGGTGGGCGATACCGTTCAGGGGTCAGCCGGTAGCATCAGGACCGAGCTTCAACCGAGTGGCCAGTCGCTGTGCCTCCCCTCCCCCTTATACACATCTAGATGTGTATAAGAGACAGGTTCAGTATACCACGTACGTTACCTGTTTAATGCCGATCAGGGGGGCCAACGGTCTATCTCTAGATGGCGGGCACCGAAGTATGCCCAGGTAGGTACATGAGGGCAATGGGAATTGAACCCAAGGCAGGTCATGTTTTTGCGGTTCATGGCTGGTAAGAACTGGCTAATAAGTAATAGACCTTTTCAAACACATGGGGCCCTTTAATACAGGGCCTATGTGTGTCAGGGGGGAGGATGGATGGAGGCATGCATGGAATCTTGGATGTGGGGAGCTGGGTGAAGCGCGAGGGGGTTACGGGGAGCTGGAGTTCTGTTGGGGGGGGGGCGTGCATGTCACTTGCACGTCAGATGTTCTTTCCTGCGGGTGGAATTTTGAAATTGACTTAATTTGAGTCTATACTACTCCATAGAGTATTCACTAGTTTGTAATTTATTGGACTTTTCATATCCTCGTATTATGTCTTTGTCTTCACAGTGAAACGGTTTTCACCTTTGCAGTAACAGATGCAGATCCCAGGGCTCGATCCCTAGACCTTACCTCACCCGTGTACAGTATCAAGTCGACCTTTGTGTGTTTTGAATCCGTGACCTGTGTTTTGATAGCTGACTGGTGTCTGTCATAGGTCTGTGTAGCTGTCGGGTCTTGAACCATAGGTCTGTCGAGTAGGGGTTATAGCTGTGTAGAGGTCATAGCTGTTGCAACTCTGAAAGGTCAAGGTCGTAGCTGCTACAGTCTGGAAATGTCCAGGTCGTAGCTGCTACAGTCTGGAAATGTCCAGGTCGTAGCTGCTACAGCTCTGAAAGGCCAAGTCCACAGACTTCCGGAAGGTCCGGAAGTGGCCTTTCGAGTGTTGCTCACGTTAGACCAGAGGCAAGCGGGCAAGTGGGTAGTCCAACTTTGCTTAGTCAGCGGTACCCAGTCCCACTCTCACTTTGTCCAGTCAGAAAGTACCATGTGGGACTGTGTGCACCACGGGCCCGGTGGAAAGGGGCAGACCAACGGCCAACAGAACTATAAATCAAGAGGCAGTGTCCAGCCACTCATTCATTTTCTGTGTGAGCCATGCGGAAGCGCTGCCCAGGCGTCTTGTGCGAGGTGGTCTGCAGATGCCCGTAGTCGAAGTGGGCTGCAAGGAAGATAGAGCAGCCATCGCTGCTTGTAGGAAGTGGTAGCCGGAGGCTATAGCTGCCATAGCTAGCAATAGATAGTAGTGTGTGTGTGTGTGATACAGAGCAGATATGTGTGGGATATCCAGGGAGACCTAGAGTTAAGTGTGTGCGAACAGTCGTGGTGAATACAGATCGGGGAAGTGAAGTGTAGGCGCTCAGGCGCCATAGCCAGTGTGAAGCGAGTTTGTATCTGAACTGTGTTCTCGGCTGTAATATCTCTGAGCTTTGTGTGGGCGCCTGGCGCCAGTGTGGATTTCAATGTGTTTGCATGCATGCTGGACGAAGATGAAGACGAGTCTGATTGCATTGGTATCGGAGCTGGTTCCCGCTATTCCATGCACCATTGCCGTTGTCAACAGGAAGGAGGCGCGCGCCAGTTGGGCGCCATAGCAGAAGTGCGCCATCGAAGAAGAAGAGTCTGCCATAGCTGCGCCACTGAAGGAAGGTGCCGCGTACCTGCAAAGAGACAGAGATGAAGAGAGAGAGAGAGAGAGAGAGAGAGAGAGAGAGAGAGAGAGAGAGAGAGAGAGAGAGAGAGAGAGAGAGAGAGAGAGAGAGGGAGCGATACAAGATTGGTTGTGTGGTCCAAGGAAGGAAGTGGCGGTCATAGCCGCCAAGCTCAGACACGGAGTAAACAAAGAAGAAAGACGATCGAGATAAGGAGGAGGAAAAGACGAAGAGGAAAGAGAGAGAAGCCATAGTCGAGGAAGAGAAAAGAGAGACAAAGAGAAGATAGAAGCCATAGCCGGGGTGAAGAAGAAAGAAGGAAGGAGAGAGAAGGAGGGAAGCGAAGGTTGAAGGGAGAAAAGGAGTCGGCAGCCACAACCGAGTTGAGAGTTGACCAAGGCGTTGACCAGGGACTTGACTGGGGTTGACCAAAGGTGTTGACCAAGGTGTTGACCGGGGTTGACCGAGGTGTTGTTCGGGGTTGACCAAGGCGTTGACCAGCGTTGACCAAGGTGTTGACCGGGAATTTGACCAAGTTGGAGTTGGTATACTCTCGCCAAGCCTTCAACCTATCCCCTCGCCCTATGGATGTGCACTCACCCCATGGTACTTGCTGAGTCTGTCTGTCTCTTCTTTCGCCCTATGGATGTGCACTCACCCCATCGTACTTGCAAGTTTGTCTGTCTCTTCCTTCAACCTATCCCCTCGCCCTATGGATGTGCACTCATTCGATGGTATACTCTCGCCAAGCCTTCAACCTATCCCCTCGACTACATGAGGTCGTAGAGCTGTGTTGACCAAACCCACACAGGCTGAGTAGGGCTTAAGCCCATGTCTGACGATTGACTGACCCGGAGGATAAACCCCCCAAGGACCCATACAGACTGGTGGGCTGCTCAGTGTGGCATGGTAGGCCCAAAGTGTGAGTTGTGGGCTGCACAACCAGTTGTCTAAGTCTTGAGAGGGCTTGCTGATCGCGTCGTCCTTTTTGCGATGAATTCCTGAGTTATGGGGGATCTCCTTAAATGCCTCTTGATCAGCATTGAAGTCCTGTAGTGACAGCTTAGTAGTAGGTCTAGGCTAGAGACCATAGTTGACAGTTCTTGTGGTCCTTAGAGACTCAGTTAGTCACTTAGTCAGTCAGTGGGTGGAGGTCTAAGTGGTGAGGAGTGGAACTGTCACTCGGTTGTGCGCCTTTCACCATGGTTGACACGCGTACCGGTGAGAGCACCACCCTGTACACCAAGGCTCAGGAGGAGCAAGCCGCCACTGTATTAAAAGGAGGCCAAGAAGGAAGTGATCAAGCAGGCTAAGAAGTTGGCCTTATTGGAAGAGGAGGCGGCGAAGAAAAAGAAGCTACAAGAGGAGATGGAGAAGTTGCAAAGAGAAGAAGAAGAGAAGTTGAAGGCGGTAGAAGAAGAGGAACTAGAAGAGGAAGTGAAGGAAGAACCCCCCTTGGAGAGGAGTAGAAGAGAAAGAGGGGAGTTGAGTCACACGAACTTGGAGGATCAGTGGATGGAGAAGAAGATTTCAGAGTGGGTTGTAAATCTGTCTTTGGGAGAAACAGAAGAGGCGATGATGTATGTACCCAGAGCCGAACAAGAGGTGGTGATAAGAGAGTTGGATGAAGAGGAAGATCCTCTACGCTGCCAGACAATAGAAGAAGAAAAGAAGTTGGAATGGAAGTTGCGCCTTACCAGGGAGAAGAAGCAACGACTAGAAGTAGCAAGCAAGATGGAGGAGTTGAGGGGGATAAGTGAGAAGAGAAGAGAAATGGAAAGCCAGGTGGAGATATTGGGCAAGATGGATGTTATGGCTAGGAACATAGAGCTCCTGGCCAAGGCCCAAGAGGAACAGTATCAGTTCGTGAGAGGCCAGGATATATCTTTACAATCCATACACTTGGGATTTAGACAGTTTGCTCGCGAGATGATGATGCACGTGGGCACTGAGATGAAAGCGAGGATAGATACATAGTGATTCTGCAAAGGCGCCATAGAAGGCGCAAAGCTTGCTATTCCACAGGAGGAGGAAGCTCGCCCCCGTAGAGAGCCAGCCAAGGTGAAATTTCCTAATTCCTACAGTGGAAGAAAGAACAAAATTTCGATAACTGGGAAGCGAACGTCAATTCGTACGTTCACTTGCAGAAGATCTTACCTGAGGAACAAGTCCTAATCGATTTTCATGCCCTTAAAGACGGTCTAGCTTCGCCAGATCCCAGATCGTTGGCCCGCGCTGCACAGTGTGATAATAATATGGTAGCTTACTCCCTTCTTGAATTCTTTAGATTGCTTCGTGAGAGATTAGCAGATGTCACTCGAGGCCTTAGGGCCTCTGACGAACTCCAAACCATCCACTCTCGTCAGTGGCGGAGAGCCAGGGCACTCAAGGGAGTAATGGACGAGCTAGTTGTTGTCCCTAGCCATGGGGTCATTGAGACCCAATTAGTTCAGTTGTTCTACCATGCCATGCCCGTTGCCTTGCACGGGCACTTCTTTGAAATGAGTAAACAGCCCACTATGACCTACGATACCTTGAGTAGGGAAGTAATGGCTTTCGAGGCCCGGTCCATGCCAGCTACCACCTTCTGGCACCCACCTTCTGGCACAAGGATCTGGACAAGGGACAAAAATGGAAGGGCCGTACCATCTCTGGCCAAGTCAAGGCCAAGGATCGCTTGATCCTGACTTTAGATGAGGGTGGTATGGAAAAGGTCTCATATGATCAGATAGAGTGGGGCCGAGAGGAGGAGGGCAGTGGCGATGATCAGGGGAGGACTTATGCTGCTGTCGCGACTGGGGGGAGGTCGCAAGGAAGAGGAGGCGGGCAGGGCCAAGGGGGCCGGGCCTCTGGTGGTCGAGGACAGGGCGATAACCGCCAGGAGGGAGGCAAGGGTCAAGGTCCCCCGCAAAATCGCTCTCGTTCTACTCGATCACCTCCGAGGAGGGATGAATGGCACCCTGGCTTGCCACAAGGCAGGCCCTAGGAAGATCTGGGCCTAGAACAGACAATATGGCAGAAGAGGATCGACCAGGATCAGTGCATCTATTGCGGTGATCCGGGGCACATCATTAAATA